CGACCTAAAAAAACTGCCCGAGCAGCAACAGGGAACGATAGCTACGCGGTTCCTTAGGCCGTTGTTGGATAACGACGCTGTTCTTTTGGACTCTCGTTAAACCAAAGCTATTTCTTTCCAATAAAAATGAGAGTTCCATTTCGGTCTCAAACAATTGTCACATTTTAAGGAAATTACTTAATTCTGTAAAAAATCAACGAGGATTATAAACATTTAATCTTCTAAACAATGCATGTTTTAAGGTACCTACTGATATCGCCGATTTACAATTGTAAAAAATGAATTTTCTGAGATTAAAGTCATTCTGATGGTGCAAAGAATTTTGAAAATGTTGCTAGTGAGTATCTTAAGTTACAGAAAAGTGATCAATAATTCTAATAGCCTGTATTTTCCTCACAAAGTGATAGCTCAAGTAATACAAGAAGAGGAAAAAGGAAATAGTCTTCAACTCATCTCCCAGTAATTAATTCCTACCTGATTCTCAAATTCTTTACACAGCTTTCCAGTCCTATTGTACACACCTAAATCAATGGGATTTCTCATTACTATCGCAGAAAGCTTGCATATAACCAGTTCTTCATTCCCGCTCTAAATTCAAGTTCTTAGATGTGGGAGTTTTACTTGTATGTTTGCATGCAATACTCTCAAAGGGCTAGAACAGGGTGTTGGATCCCCTGGAATTGGAGTTAAAGGCAGTTGTGAGCCTCCTTTGGAATTCAGGTCCCCTAGAAGAGCAACCAATTCTCTTAACCGCTGAGCCAGTTCTTCAGCCCGGTTTGCTTTTTCTTATAGGGAATGTGGCCTTCAGTGAATAAACTATAACTCCCAACTCATGTGAAGGGTACCCACCAAATTTAGTATGTGGACCTGCTTTTTAAAACCCCAGAAGGGGCTTAAGAAATAGCTCAGCGGTTAAGAACATTGACAGCTCTTCCAGAGGACCAGGGTTCAATTCCCAGCACCCACATGACAGCTAACAACTGTCTGTAATTCTAAGATCTGACACAGACATATGTGCAGGTCAAACACCAATGCTAGTAAAATTAAAAATTAAAAAAATTAAACCCCCAGACATGGACAGTCTGCTGTGGAATCTGGTAAGGTTTGTGGCCTTGGTCCTACTGAGATGCTTCAAAGCTTAATAAGAATGTCTGGGTCCCCATGAAACCCCTCTATACCCAGGTTTACCAGAAAATTTTGGTAGGAATGGGGTTAATGACCATCCTTTTTTAAAATCAGGAAAAGAGAAGTGAAACTTTGAAAGGCTCCAATCCTGCCCCTGCCCACAGCCATCATTAAGCAATGAAAAGGAATGTCGACAAGCTGTATTAGATACCATTTACAGTGTGGCCTTAGTAAAAGTATCTGAGTAGCAAAAAACCAAACCAAAACAAAAAACAGACATAATTTTGATCTAGCTTCAGACAGTATAACTAGGTTCTAATTAAAATGTCCATGTTGAGTGTGTTTAGGATGCGTGTTAAAAATCTATTGACTTGGCACTGTCGACAGGGCTCAAGGTTAAGAATGCATACTGCTCTTTCAGAGGACCCAAGTTTGTTTCCTAACATCCATGTCAGGCAGCTCACAATCACCTGTAACTCTAGCCCCAGGAGATCCTACACTTCTAGCCTCCAAGGGGACTTGAACTTTTGTGCATATAATTTAAACAGATACATATAAGTACATACAATTTTAATTATATAAAATAACAAAAATAAATCTTAGAAAAATAAGTTGCCTTATATTCCCCCCTCCCATGTTGATTTAGGAAGGCAAGTAATCCCATACCAAAAAAAAAAAAAAACCCCAAAAAACAAAAAACTTACTTTAATCCCAGCACTCAGGAGGCAGAGGCAGGCAGATCTGTGAGTTCGAGGCTAGCCTGGTCTCCAGAGCGAGTGCCAGGGTAGGCTCCAAAGCTACACGGAGAAACCCTGTCTCCAAAAACCAAAAAAACAAATAAGTAAGTAAATAACTTACATCAAGTTATGGACGTTGAATAAATAAAAGGCAAATGCCAGTCTTTTCTTGACACACATTCCAAGCAACCTAATGAGGGAGTCTTACAGTCCTAAATGATTACAAGAATCCAAATAGGTCATATAAATGAGTGAAACACTTGGTAGGTAAAACACCTCTTTTAAAAACTTTATACATTTATTGATTGTGTAGGCATGTCAGAGAGAGGGATAGGGAGAGAGAGACTAGCGATCAGAGGACAACTTAGGTCAGTTGCTTCTCTCCTTCCACCATGAGGGGCCTGGGAATTGAACTCAGGTCTTCAGGCTTGGTGGTAAGGGCCATTACCTCTGGAACCATTCCACCAGTCCACCAGTCACCACACACACACACACACACACACACACACACACACACACCACACACACACACACACACACCCCTCCTCTAGAAGCATCTGCTAATCACAGGCAACAGTTATCATGCAAGCCACATTTTTTGACTATAAACAAAGCAAAACAAAAATTTGATATGTTTTTAAAATATTGGCTCAATTTTCTTTTAATGAAGGCAAAAGTAACATTTCTATAAGGAACTCATTCCTAGCAACCCACTTATTCAGTAGCCTCAATGATAAAATAATCAGTTGAAAACTTTAATCCTTTATTACATAAACCATGTTATCCACATGTCCCTTGGTGGCAATCTGAAATCTGCTGCCCCTTCAAAGTCTCCTGTGGTTCAGTGGCTTTCACATCCAGAAGCTAACACACTAAGCATTCAAAAGAATATGCCAATGTTTCCTCTAGATCTGTGAGACACATTCCATTCTTATCTGACTCTCTGATCTAACTGTGACTATACCAGCTTATGGTCACCTTGGCTTGCATGGCCACCCAATCATTGATTGCCCTGATGATGTTCAGCTTTGCTCTATCCTGTTTCAAGAAGCATTCTTAAATCTCAGCAACTAGTTACAAGTTCACATACATACACATTAATCCTCTCATAATTAAAAATACAAGATAATAGTTTGCTGATCAGTGAACAAAGTATTTATTCAGCACCCATGTGCCAAGCACAGTGCTAGGCACTGTGGTGGATACAAAAATTAAGACATAGTCCCTGCCCTTAAGGAGCTTACATTCTCATGAAGGAAACAAAACTAACATACACGTAGCATCTAGGAACAGTACAAGACAATATATGGTTTGGTATAAGAATTTTAGTACAGGTTTGAAGCTTCATAAGGATTTAAAGAAGATAATGAACTAGACTTCAGTATTAAGATTTGAATGTTGGGTCTTGAAAGACTGAAGAGACTTAAATTGAGGTCTCTGCTAGGTAAAGTGGGAGCAAGCTTCAGAGGAAGACAGAGATATGCATTTGATAAAGGCCAGGAACTGACTGCAGACTTCTGCACAGAGTCGCTCAGCCATAGAAGCAAAGTTCAAGAGCTTTGAAGAAAACTCAAAATAATAAGTAGCTTAGTCATCCTGAAGAGGAGCGAAGGGCGGGACATTGGCTAACACAGATAGAACTCACCTTCTAACGGAAAACACAGCCACAAAATAAAACAGTGGCAGAAGGCATGGCAATTCTAGGAAGCATGTTACACAACATGCCAATAGCTCCAGTGTTCCCTAATTCCCAGACGACCCTAGAGACAGTGTTATGGTTCTGTTTCAAGATCCAGGATGTGGATGTTTTACCTCACACAAGTACAAAAGAAATATAAAAGACAGGAGGACACAGAAGGATGACAGAAAAAGAAGTGGAAGAAACAAGTAAAAATTCATAGTGAAAAAAACACACCAAAGTATATAAAATGTATCTCCGAGGGAGATGCAATTGGCATGTCCATTCATCTTTAAATGAACATATATTGTAAGTCTATAAAAACAAAACAAAACCCCTGTGCTTTAGGTGTGCTTTTTTGGTTATTTCTGGTACAATCCAGGAAATGTCTCAAAACTATATTCATGTATGCTTAATCATCACAGAATCCCATAATCCAATCTCACTTTTCTGGTGACTCACTTTTGGAAGAATCCGAATCAAGAGGTTTGCTGGGGAAATGAGGACTTTTCCTCGTATCCAGTTACCTGTCGAACGACACAGGGGCAGGGACACAAATGTGGGACTGGCCAAACTACTAAGTGACTGAAATTGGCACTTGCAGGGCACAGTGTGGAGCACAGCATGGTATTTTGCCACTAGGAATTGGCATCCTAAACACCAGAGACTGCTTGAGGCTATGCATCCAAAATGCATTTCCTGTTTTACCCAGTCAGTAATATGTACAGGTATTCACTACTTAAAATGAACAGCTGGTGAAGAGATTTTAGAATTAAATCTTTACCATAAAAATTCCACTAAGTAGCTACATCTAAAATTAACTTGGGGACAATAAATAAAACCTAAAGAAACTCATTCTGGCTCAAAAGCAAGCAATAATAATAAAAATAAATTCCTAAAAGTTACCAATAAAGCTTTCTTGAACAGAAACAATGATTAAACTTAAGAATTCCACAAGGTTCATACAATCTAAGATTGTCATTAAACTTAAAAAAATTTTTAAACAAGAGAAAAGCAGTCCCGTTAAAACACATTCCATAAAATCCTCTTCAGTTATTCATTAGCAACATGTAACATGCCAGTACTCATTTCATTCCCTATGCATTTTCCACTTAGTTGCTAAAATGCTTTCTACCTCAAAGACAAGTTGAAAATTTTCACCTTGAATGCTTACTATAGCTTATTCAAGTCTATGCCAAACTCTGAGAAAGAGCTCATTCTGGAAAGCAACTCAGCCAAAATAGGGCGATCCAGTCTGGGGAGTCCTGTGCCTATCTGATGTTTATGAAAACTATCTGAGATCATCTGTCTGGGCTCTGATAGAGCAGCACAGATGTAAAACAAGATGTAATATCTTTGACAAGCGCTCACTGAACCATCAGTGTGGCTGCCTCCAAATACCCTACCTGACCTCCCAGGAAGGTGAACTAGGCACTTGGCTCTGCAAAGGTTTTGAGCTTTTCTTGAAATGAATGACAAGAGGAACAGATGTCCAGCAGCTGCCCATTCATATGCCCGTGCTTTGACAAAGGGTGACCATTACTAATTCGGGAATTTCTTAGTGGAGAAGTTCCAGCTAAAAGAGATGTCACAGTTGCTTTTTGTTTACAGCTGACTTGCCTACAGATTCCTCTGCTACAAATCACCCTCCCTCCTCTCTTCTGTGGTTTTCAGACAGAGAACCATCTGAATAGCAGAAACCAATCTTCCTCCTACTGAAGCTACCACTTTGAACTAGTCAGAGTACGAAACAGCTGTGCATTTCCAATCTTGAAATCAAATCCAGTCGGAAGCAGTGGGGACACGAGGGCAGACACGGAAACCGCTGTGTTCAGACCTACGCAGGAGAGCTAGAACACATTACCATGACTTAAAAGATCACACGAAGCTTAAATACAGTGTGAGAGAGATGGAATTCAGTTTTATTTTGTCCTCTCTGAAACTTCCATTTACACCACGGCCTTGTCTATCAAAGAAGAGTAGGAAACACCCTGCCTTACGCCACAGAGCTCAAGTACCCATGTACTTTTAGAGGCAGCAGGGTATCTGTTTCTCCATTTTTTGGCTCCAAGAGGTTATACTTTTAGTACCAGCATAGTGAGGAACCCCTGGCAAACTGTTGGAAATGTCTTCTGTGTTAGTCAGTGTACCATTCCGTAAAGTGCTTCTGGAGTTAAAATCTGTCACGCTGTCAAAAGTGTCCACACTTTTGCAATAAGGGATAAAAGAATCCCAATGGGCATTTCACTGAGTCCTTCTCAGATGGGCCTCATAACTGGCACAGCTGTGTTACCCTCCAAGGCGCTGGCCCTCACCCCAGGCAAAGCCTCCTGGCCGCTCTTCAGGTAGTGGGTTGTAATTGGGATCCTCATCTGGTGTATCAAAAATAGTCCTCCTAAAACACACAGAATGGTTCAGTGCCAGAGCCATCTCAGATCAGAAGTACTAGAAAGCAGTTAATCTCCACAGGGCTTCCACAAACAGAGAAGTGTCACCTCTGCCTGCCAACTAAAGAGGGTATTACACCTAAAAGATTCCACAATTACTTAACATTTACATTAACTTACCTCCTTTACTAATTTTTACTACAGAAGCAAAAAATGCTGACAAAGTACCTGGAATAGTCAAATCCACAGGTGGTTGCTGGATGACAGGAATAGGGAATTAATCAATGGGCCGAGCTTTAGGATTACAAAATAAAAACACTCTTTTTTTGTTTTGTTTTTTGTTTTTGTTTGTTTGTTTTTCGAGACAGGGTTTCTCTGTGTAGCTTTGGAGCCAGGACACTCACTCTGTAGACCAGGCTGGTCTTGAACTCACAGAGATCCGCCGGCCTCTGCCTCCTGAGTGCTGGGATTAAAGACGTGTGCCACCAATGCCGGCTAAGATAAAAACATTCTAAGGATAGTGGCCATATTAGCACAACACAAATGCTCTTAACACCACTGCACTGCTCATTTAAAAATGATTAAGATAATGTGTCCTGTATTGGGGTGTGTCGACTTAGTTTCAAGGACATTCATCACTCCAATTACAAAAGGAAAAGCAATAACTAATGTCAATAATAAGGGAGTAACACAATTACAATAAATATGAATCACAGAGTATCATGTAGCCACTAAAATTCTGCAGGGCATTTATAATGGAAAAGTACCCCCCTCCACCCCTAGACAGGATTTTTCTATGTGTAGTCCTAGCTTCCTGGAACTGGTTCTATAGAACAGGCTGGCCTGATCTTAAACTCTGACATCCACCCACTTCTGTCCTCCAGACAGGCGTGTGCCACCACACCCAGTTAGGGAAAATATTACATTTTAGCTGAGGGCGGGTACATCATGACTTTAATCCTAGCACTCAGGAGGCAGAGGCAGGTGGATCTCCATGAATTCAAGGCCAGCCTAGTCTACAAAGTGAGTTCTAGGACAGCCAGAGCAACACAAAACCCTGTCCCAAAAAACTAGCACCCACCCCCCAAATACAGATAGTCTGGAGAGATGGCTCAGAAATTAAGAGCACTTGCTACTCTTGTAGAAGACCTAGGTTTGGTTCCCAGCACCCACATCAGGGAGTTTACAACAACTTGTAACTCCAGCTCCAGGACACATTGTCCCTGGTCTCTGCAGGCACACACCCATGCATATAGTGCACATAAAATGCAGGCATACAGCCTCGTAAACACATTTATAAAATAAATCTTTAAAAGAAATTAAAATTATATAGCTATTTTTAAAAAAGCATATACTGACAGTTACCCAATCCCATGTTCAGCCCTAAACACATCTTCATACAAGCAACCCAAATGGACCAAATAGGTAAATAGATTTTGTAAATGTCTGTGTAATGATCATTTAAAAAGAGGTCATAAATTGGATAGGGAGTAGGGATTCACAGTAGAAGGGGAGAGAGGGAGAATTGGAAATGATGTAGATACAGTAATCAGGTAGGAAATGACCAAAAAAGCTATGAAAGGTACAAGACTACCTATCAAAAGTCAGTCAAAGGACACTGCTACGTGTACGTAGAATTTCAGACGATTTTACTTCCTGTGGTGGATTGAATAGGTATGGCCTCCATAGACTCATGTGTTTGAATGCTTGGCCCATAGGAGGTGGTTCTATTAGGAGGTATGGTCTTGTTGGAGGAAGTGTGTCACTGTGGGGTGGGCTTTGGGGTCTCCTATGCTCAAGCTACACCCACAGTGAGACAGACCAGTTCTTGTTGACTGTGAGTCGAGATACAGAACTCTTAGCTCCTTCTCCAGCACCACGTCTGCCTGCATGCCACCATATCATACCATGATGATAATGGACTAAACCTCTGAAACTGTAAGCCAGCCCCAGTTAAATGTTTTCCTTTATAAGAGTTGCTGTGGTCATGGTGTCTTTTCACAGCAATAGAAACCCTAATTAAGATACCCCTTCCTGGGCTGGAGAGATGGCTCAGAGGTTAAGAGCACCGGCTGCTCTTCCAGAGGTCCTGATTTCAATTCCCAGCAACCACATGGTGGCTCACAACCATCTGTTATGAGATCTGGTGCCCTCTTCTGGTGTGCAGATATATATGGAAGCAGAATGTTATATACATAATAAACAAATAAAATCTTTAAAAAAAAAAGATACCCCTTCCTTTTGTTTTGTAATAAAAATTTTTTCCCTCTTGAAATGGATTCTTGGTATGTTACCTAGGCTGACATCAAATTTTGAATTCTGCCTCAGCCTTCAGAGTGGATAGGAGGACAGGCATATACTAGCAAAGCTCATTCTTCTCCGCTTCCTTAAAGATATATTTACTTTCCTTCTATTTATTTTTCATTTTAGTTCTTTTTTTAAAAGGTTTATTTATTTATGTATTTTATGTACATAGGTATTTTGTCTGCATGTACATCTGTAACCAAAAAAGGGCATCAGATCCATGGGATCACTGTTATAGATGGTTGTGAGCCACCATGTGCATGCTGGGAATTGAACTCAGGACCTCTGGAAAAGCAACCAGCACTCTTCACCACTGAGCCATCTCTCCAGCCCCTTATTAAGTCTATGGGTGTTTTGCCTGCATGTATGTCTGTGCATCATGTGCTTGCAGTGCCTATAGAGGCCATGTGATCTCACGTTGGATCCCACGGAACTGAAGTTATAAACAGTTGTTAGCAGCTATACGGGCACTGGGAATTGAAACTGGGTCTTCTAAAAGAACAGTCAGTGCTGTTAACCACTGAGCCATCTTCATTCTTTTTTGGTTAACTATTCTACAACAGAGAATTTGTATCAAACCATTTTGTCATCTCAACAGAGCCTTGTTTGTTTGTTATTGAGACAGGGTTTCTTTGTGTAGTCCAAAACTGTCTAGCGACCCCCCCCCCTCCCAGCACCACCGCAATAGTTCCCAAGGATACAAAATTCTATAGCAGAAACAGGTCTTATAATAAAAAATAAAGAGATGTGCTTCAAATCAGACTGCTTGGTGGTGGAACAGCTAGTCTGGCTTCAGTTCCAAAGCCTTTTCCATTCTATTTTCCTGTGTATCTCTACCACCTGCTTTGCTGGTCAGAACACCATCAGAAATGTCCTCTGAACTTTGTGGCTCATTCACTTTTCATTGACTTCTCTCAACTTGGATATCAGCTTTCATAAAAGCAGCAGGGACCTATATTCTAGTGGTCACTCAGGACAATAATTGCAAAGTCATCTCCACAATGTCAAGAGTCCAGTAAACACAACCATGGCCTAATCTGCTTCTGGCCAATCCAAGGGTTCCCCATTGTAGACACGTTGCTCAATCTACAAACACTGACATGAACCACATGGATCAGGAGCTAAGGGAGCCCAAAATGAACCATGACCATGGTTTGTCTGCATGGAATGTGAAACATGGTGTCAAATACTCACAAAATAGAAGGTGTTTTCAGAATTCTTATTCCACCAGGCTGATTGGGAAATATATCTTCCAAGAAAAAATATATGTGCCCAACTGCAATACCTATAATCAACCAGAAATAAAGGATAAAAAGGAAGATTAAAATTTCAATTTTAAGTTCCCTACCAACATAGGCTTTATTTAGGATAAGTGTAATTATTGAAAATTAATGAGCTAATATTATCTTTCAGATATAATTATTAAACAACCTTGCAATAGCTATATATAGGAAGACTAAACAGAATAAACATGAGACAGTGACAAAATACATTTTCAGGTAAAAGAGTACAAAAAGTAGTGATAAGATGCTTACCCAGAAGGTCCACAATAATTGAGTTCCCCAATAACAAGGAAAACCCCATGAGCACCCAGGGCAGAAAGGGGGCCTGGAAGTTTAGAAGACCAAAGAAGTTCATGCGGACATAGGGGTTCCTTCGGCTCCACACGTACACCAGCATTATTGTAAAGGCCTGGCCTAAAAAAACTAAGCTCACAAACAACCCAAAAAGCTAGCAAGTGGAATTAAGGAAAATATCAACATGAAAGCATGCTAGGGAAGGCTACATAAGAACTAAAGATCAACCTTTCACTGAAATCTGAATTAGAAAAGCTAAGTAGTGAGTGGAATTTTTAAGAAGAAAAGTCTGAAATTAATTATCCAATGCAACTAGGGGAAAACTAGCTTGGGCTAATTTATCCAGATCATAGCTACTACAGACTAAACCTCTGCTTTTGTGATGTTCTTGCCTTTTTGGAAAACATTATTTCCTTTGTCAGTAAGTACAGTGAAGATCACTCCCACTGACATCTTCACAGGTGCTGAAGCACACAGGCTGGAACAGAGCACACAGCACTAATCTAAGTCTGTTACACACAACAAAATCCTTCTCTTTTAAAAAATATTCTATCAGTTTAAACAGTGACTTAATACATGTCTTACCAACTTAGTGAAAGCGAAGTCTCCCACCAACAGTGACGTAACTGAGATGCTTCAAGACAACCCACCTGGGTTAAAAGTTCCTGCTCGGCGGATCCTCCTGTCCAACCTCTAGGCTTGGAAACTGTCACAGTGGGCTGTGAAGTAAGTGGGAGCACCCTGAGGCTACAGTCTGGATATCTACTTTTATCTGTTTGGAGTAGCTAGTGAGTCACGGGAGACAGATGAACCGATCGAGGAATAGACAGACTGTTCTTTAATATTTTCCTGTATTCTATTTGTTGAAGGATACAGTCATTAAAAATCCACCAAAAAGGAACATAAATACAAAGTCTGCTGTCCGACCTCGGAAAGAGCCTTCTTCTAGCATTCGACAGTAACGATATCTTAAGTTTCAAGTTAAGAAAATATTAAGGGCGCACATTAAAGATAAAATGTAATGAACCACTAAAACATACTTGGGCTTCATACTACACAGTCAAGCTGCATTTCTCTAAGAATGTTTAATCTGGTTTCTTTTCTACCCATCAAACATTTTAGGCAACAACAAAACTAGCACCATATTTTACAAAGCTGGTCCCTGGCTTGGAAGCTAATTCAAATACTGCATGAACATGCTTCCAGTCACCATTACACCTCTTCCAATTTGTACTATTGTCTTTCCCATGTTCAGACACATGTGAATTTGCACCATCCTTGGTTTGCCAATTTGGAAGAAATCTCTTCAAAGAAGCTTTGTGTGATAACTACTTTTCCAGGCCAGGCGGGCTAAGCATTTCTATACTCTAGTCCATAAAAACTGTAACAAAAAACCTTTTATAAGAAACTTATCAGAATGATAGCCTATGCAGGAAACACACACACACACACACACACACACACACACACACACACATTCTAGGACTTAAGTCCCAACACCGTAAAGGCCCTCTATCTCCTGCAGATGAGCTGTAGTGCTGGGTGCAAGAGGAATGAGTAGTGCAGCACATCTAAGCACTATCTGGCTCTCTGATAACCATGGCTTTCCTTGGCTTTCCAACCTACATGTCAAGCCCTGCAGACATTTTGGCACTCACTGTTTTTTTTAGCCTTGCAAACCATGGTCCTCAATCTCATAAAGCCATTCCAAATCCTGGGGAAAATTATGTTGAGTTACCAATGTCTCGGGCTGACTTACCACTGGCTGATGCTGACATTATTTTATAAATATGCCTACAATAAACCACAGCTTAAGGACACCAATCTTTTAACAATTGGAACCTCCTATGTAAACAAAGAGCTACAAAGAGTTTCAAAATATTACAATCTGATTACAAACTATAGACCCAGATGCCGTAACTAAAATGTTATAAAAAAACAAACAAGAGTAATAGTTTCAACTTACAATATATATTACGTGAACCTAAAATTTTGATGTTGACTCCATTTAAAAGGATACAGAAAAATCATGTTAAACAAAAAATTGAATCCAACTGGACCAAAAAATAAGAAATTGGTGATTAGTCTCCATATCTGCAAGGGCATGGGGGAAGCAAGAGAAAAACACATTAAGTAAAATGTATAACCAGGAAACATTTCTATAGTAAAATAAAAACAACGTTCTACATGATGCTGAGGCTCCAAAGTCCTAGGTGGGGCCCATTCAAATGTGAAACACAATGAGATTCTGGATTTGGGTTGTGTGTGTGTGTGTGTGTGTGTGTGTGTGTGTGTGTGTTGCTTCTAGTTAAAAGACCAAAATATACTAATTGGACTGTGAAATTTTTATGGCTGATAGAACAGAGTGCTTTTATATATATAACAGAGTGCAGTCATTATAAGGAGGAGTTTACAGGCACTACAAACTTCAGGGATCCAGCATTTAAAGGTGCTGAGAGAAGTTCCTATATTAGCCACAACATCCTGATGGAAAAATTCTAAGATAGTTGGGTTCTTCCTCAACTTCCTCCAAGAACTAATGCTCCAAGCATGAAGGAAAGATATAAGAGCAGTCTCACTTAGACAACCTACACCTACCCACAAAGCTTTACATCATTTATGTGATCTTAGTAATCTTGTGAGACAAGAAAGCTGATGTGACTAGTCTCATCTCACAGATAAGGAATCTTAAGACTTAAGGGTTTTTGAAGGGCATGCAGCCAGGTAGCAAATAGCAAATCTAGAACTCCTAATTCCAAACTTGGTGCAAGAATTTAACCTTGGCCAGGGATGATTGCTCATCTCTATAATCCTAGTACTAAGGAGCCCAGGCAGGAGAATCACTCAATATTGTTAAGTTCAAGAGTTTCCCAGGATACATGAGAGACCCTATGGTTTTGCTGTTGTTAAAAAAAAAAAAAAAGGCGGTGGTGGCACTCCCCTTCAATCCCAGCACTTGGGAGGCAGAGGCAGGCAGATCTCTGTGAGTTCGAAGCCAGCCTGGTCTACAGAGTGAGTTCCAGGACAGGCTCAAAAGCAATACAGAGAAACCCTGTCTCGATTACCCCCCCCCCCAAAAAAAAAGGTGATGCACACCATGTGATCCTAGAAGGCTGAGGCAGGATGATATCACAAAACCATGCCAGCCAAGCTACAAAACAAACTATCTCAAAAAATAAACAAAAAACAAACCAAAGAACTTAACCCTAGGCAGTCACACCACACAAGTCAGTAGGAAACAATCCCAGGAAAGGCCACAGGAAAATACCTAGCAAAGACATTATTGGAGGGCTGACTGCTTCATACACCATTAAACCCTCCATCACTGGCAACTATTTGTGACAATTAATGTTGACAGTGCCCTATAAGGCAAATTCTGGGCAGTTCCTCTGTAAGGGAGTTTCTAGACTCAGTCACTTGAGGTGGGAAGGAAAACACTAGCTGGGAGGGCAATCCCATGGGCTGGGATCCTAGAACAACTACATAGGAGGAAGTGAACTAAGCAACCACTCTTGTCTGTTTCCTCACAGAGGGCTGCAATGGGACCAACGGCCTTAAACTCTGGGTGCTGTGACTTCCCAACCACAATGGACTTCACCAACTAACCAAGGGCCTAATAGTCAGGTATTCTGTCACAGCAGTGAGAAAAGGAACCAGCACTCTGTTCTTCACAAGGAAACAATCCAGTTTTATGGGATTGCTCCTAAGAGTTCATAGAATCCTCATCCCAGTGAGGACACTGCACATGAAACCCCCCATGTAAAGCTGAGTGGTGATAGCCCATGCCTTCAATTATTCTAGCACTCAGGAGGCAAAGGCAGGCAGATCTCTGTGAGTTCAAGGCCAGCTTGGTCTAGAGAGCAAGTTCCAGGACAGCCAGGACTACACAGAGAAACCTTGTATCAAAAAACCAAACCAAACCAACAAAAAACCCCAAGTAAGGGTGAGAGATGTGATTTATCCGAGGGCACACAAAAGCTGCATCTTGAAGGGCAAGCTAGAGTTCAATGTGTGCAAAGGGAGTGGAACACATCTGGGACAGGGACCAGCACGAATAAAGCAGAATTACAGCCATTGAGATCTAGCCTTCACCGAGAGTGTGGAATGATCACCCTGGCAGGAAAACACACTTCTCTTTAGCATTTTAATCACTGGAAAAAGACTTCTTCAAACTGGACTCTAATAAGCCAAAATACTGTTTTAGAGAATGGTCTTTTAGACTTGTGTTAGTATGATCTGACTTCTGGAAGGCAGATAGCAGATAAGTGCTAAAGCTCTACCAGAACTGAGTTTATAAGCTAGACTGTGAGGATTAACAACAGTGGTAGGTGGGTCTGGTGGTGAGATGACAAAAGAAGACTATCCTGTGAGACTCCCTGGGCAGCTAGCTGGCCAGTCTATTCTCAAATCATATCATTATCATTACCATTATTATTATTATCATTGGTTGTTGTTACTATTGCTTGTGTTTTGAAACAATTCCTTGATGTGTAGTTCAAACTGGCCTCGATTTCCTGACTTCTGGGATTCCGGCCACATTAATTCTGAACTAGTTGTAGTCAAATGCAGGAACTCAATACACCAAAAACATACTAAAAGTAGATGCATTCCAAATTCTCACCCTTGGCACTTTTCTTAAGACAGGATCTCCTAGGTAGCCCGATCAAACCAGAACTTGCCATCCTCCTGCTTGATCTGCTGGTTCCTGACTCCACCCTTGGCAATTCTAATTTGGTATATGAAAAAGAGCTCACAAATAACCTAGCATCTCTTAAATGATTCTGAAGTCCAACCAAGCTGCAGAATTACTTCTTAACATCTCAATAAGACTTATAATCAGAGCCCCCCCCCAATTATTTTTGAGACTGTATCTGACAGGTTTTATTACTTACTAAACAATAAGAAAAAAGGTAGTGGTAACATTAATCATAGTAGCCTTAGACCACTTACTTGAAAGTGTTTAAAAATTAGTTCAGGATTGAAGTATAACTGAAAAGGTGTGATCAATTCCAACTGCTGAAATGGAAAAAGAGCTTCTTAAATCAGATCAATTGTAAAACAAAAATTCGGCATTAACGACAAGGGGCCAGTAGCTCTAATAATTTCTGTTGTCACTTGGAGTAAATTCCTGTCTTGCTTGTGATGGCTGGTAAGAGATTCTTTAGAATTCGCACAACCGTTTTGTATCCTTAATACACAATGCAAGTTTGATGTTGCAATATTTGAGGGTGCTATAAGGTAGGCAGGTGGGGATATTTTAGAGACAAGACAACAGCATCTTTTACGTGTGTCGCGTGGTCAGCACCCGAAACAGCTGGGCAAGACAACTCCGAGTAAGAGATTCGAGGCCCCGCTACCATCAGGGCTAGACACAAGCGGCCAGTTCTTATATCCACGGGCCGTCTTTTGAAAGATGTTTCCAGACCACTCGAGATTTTTTTTTATCCTTAATACAGAAGTCTGTGAACCCAGCGGACCTTGCTCCCGCTAGTCACCTGGCCATAGCGAGGGCTGAGATACATTTTTGGGTGGGCGGCTCCCGCAGCTCTGACTCGCTACAGGTCTGGATTTCATCTCTCGGTAACTGACCTGCCCCTTCATGGAGGAGCACTTCCTTTTCAGGTCACTGGCTTGGCACCCTTGGGACTATCCCGAACCCTAGAGTCAGCTCCGGATGTCTCCACCCACCCCTGGGACCAAACCCTCTGGGCTTCTCTGCGGCCCAAACCCGTTTTCTGAAGACCCAGTCATAGCTAGCCTGAAAAAAGGAGGACGTGGCGCCACAGCTGCTCACCACGGCC